CGTGGGTAAGGAGCTACAGCATGAAGTCCAGAGATGACAGATGGCGTGGGTAAGGAGCCACAGCATGAAGTCCCGAGATGACAGATGGCGTGGGTAAGAAGCCACAGCATGAAGTCCAGAGATGACAGATGGCGTGGGTAAGGAGCCACAGCATGAAGTCCAGGGATGACAGATCGCGTGGGTAAGAAGCCACAGCATGAAGTCCAGAGATGACAGACGGCGTGGGTAAGGAGCCGCAGCATGAAGTCCAGAGATGACAGATCGCGTGGGTAAGGAGCCGCAGCATGAAGTCCAGAGATGACAGATGGCGTGGGTAAGGAGCCACAGCATGAAGTCCAGAGATGACAGATCGCGTGGGTAAGGAGCCACAGTATGAAGTCCAGAGATGACAGATTGCGTGGGTAAGGAGCCACAGCACACCAGTCTTCAGCAGATGTGCATTTCAGGAAATAATTCTAGAACCAATCTGGTGAAGTCCGTGCTGCATGCGGTGTCACCCCGTTTGCTGGAGCCACTCCTCGTCCCGACCTATCCCGTGAAGTGACCTCAGGGCCGTCTAGAAGGGCGTCAAAGCCACGTGGTAATGACAAGATATTCAGTCTCGCCCTCATGAGCCATGTTCAGCAGAGTCATGACTTGATGAACGTGAGGATACTCATTACTACCATTGTTCTTGACATCGCTTTGTCACTGGATGGTCATTTGAAAAATACAGCAGTTCGAAAGGCATTCGAACTTTCACCGAGCTGATCACAATGGTCCATATCACAAGACGTTTTTCTTTAAATTACACCATGCTAAGCTTTGCACAAAAGGTAACTTCTATTGCTCTGAAATTCGGAAATGATCTCTCCACGCAGAAAATGTTTTAAGAAATTGCATATTAGTGAAGACATTGAAGACAGACAATGAATACAACATTCGAGACGCAAATAAGACTTCAATGAAATCGGAGGAAAAACCGGGTTTCAGGGATAGGTTATGTCAGCCTAATCAGTTCAGTCTCCTAGCTTTTTTGCAAAGTGACACCCTGCCTGTGATGGCAGGCTGGGTGGCAGGCAATATGCCAAAATATAGTATGCTGGTTTGACATACTGCGTAAACATGCAGAGCAAAAATACCAGGTTTGAAATTGATGCCTGCCTAGCAATTTCATACTACGCTTCAATGATTGAGTGTAGCAAGCGTAAAAAATAAATATAGCTTAATGCACTAGCACCGATGAAGTAACATAGTACGAAAAACAAACTTGTAGAATAGGATCGCAAAAGTTTCAATATTTGACTAGACGTGGCAATTCAGGCGGATCCGTCGCTCCTCAGGCGTGACAAAATTGCATTGGGTCCGCTGGCAATCTGGGTATGTTGTTCCTTGATTGTGCATCACTCTTGCTGAATAACTGCACGTAGGTGCCTACTACCCTAACCTTTATGATATCATGCTGCCTTCATTATGTTGTCGTAAAATAGCCAACAAACAAAAATGAAAAATGCACCCCTGTGCCCCTGCAACATCGTTACATCGCTATATCGTTACATCGTTACACCCAAATTTATTATGACAAGTGTACAAAGGTATGTTTGGTGTGCAGTCAAACACAATTCAAGTTGAAAAAATGGAAAAGTGAAAGAACGATGTCCACTTAAACTGGCCAACAAACGGGCTTCTCCCCGGCTGTAGTTCATTTTTTCTCAAAGTTAGGGGGCGTTGAAGCCCCCCTCCCCTACAGAAAATCGCACCCTTGCCAGTAGTGGTAATTGGTGCTTGGTGTGTCTTATGCAGTGCCTGGTGTGAAGTGCGTCTCTCCATCCACGCCCTCAAGTGCCTCTCCCCCTCCCCCAAAGATACCCTTGTGTGCCGCATATTGATAAAATTTCAGAGTAGTGTCATAGAGCACGCTATTTGGGCGACGCCATCGGTGCATCTTAACCTTTGAATATTGTCAGTGGCATTGCCAAGATCCTCTGTACAATATCCACTAACAACTTACGTCGAGTCGTTGCAGCGGCTCGATTATAGCGGCAAAGATCTCTTTCGGGAAAGGCGACAAGATTGCATTCATACACATTGCCAAGCATGACGTGTAAGCGGGGTAAAGTTTTCTATTCAGTTGATGTGGCTCCAGCCCTCCACCCTCACCCTGACTCCAAAGTGGGCTCCAGCCCCCCTTCCTATATAACGTTGGGAAGAAAATTGTCCAAATCCGGGGAGAAACCCGTTTGTTAGGGAATTTTGGGGGCGGGCTGTTTCATTTCCACTGCTCAGCCCTCCGGCTCATTTTGCGAAACTAGCGCCCTAAACTAGCGTGCAGCAGACATGCGTGTCACACCGTCAATCATAGAAAATGGTCATTCGCATAAGTTTGCTGTCGGTGTGCGCCCATAGCTAACCACGTTCCTATCAGATACTGATAAATGCAAATACGACCATCGCACAATGATGAGAATCACTCTAGGGCGTCGCTACGGCGGGTCAGAGGCGCGTCTCCATTGGTCGTGGAGCTCGTTATTATATCTAACTACCGCACTGCATGAACAAAAACGTGCTCATAACGCTCTCGCCTGTCGCCACCGTTCTGCGCCGCAGCGTTACGATGCCATGCCGTCCTCACTGGAGACAAGAGACCCCATTACCGACATGTTGCGCCCGTGCTGAAACAATGCCCCCAGATGCAATGTCGGAAAGAAGTGAATGTTTGAAGGTCACCAACGGGATCGAGTCATCAGATAGCATAATTCTGCAAAATGCCTGCAGAGTGCAGGCTGTATCATTGAGTTGCATGCATACCATTTGCAGCGTTTTGCAAAAGTTCTGATTGCTTGGTCTAAACGTGCCCACTTGGGCCTTGCCCTTCTACGCCAGCGCTTATAAGTCCCACTAACTGGGATTAGACTCTATAGCCACACCCATGCAGACCCAGTCATGATGCTCGGTGTTGCGTCCATAATTTGATCCCAGAGGAAAAATATACCGGACTAAATTATGCCAGGTCAATAGGTCCCCGCATGCATAGCAAGAAACAAGTGTTGCCTTTCTTTACATTGAAGGCACATTGTTGGTTGACTTGACCACATGTTCAGCGTTTCTTAGCCAATGCCGTGGTTTGCAATTTGTCATAACGCCGACTGATGTGGGGAGGGGGGGGGGGGGGGTTGAAGAGGTCCACTTTGCTGTTTTGAAACCAAGAAAGATAAAACCGCGCGGAAAAAGCGGTGGACTGATCTCATCGAGACCTCGCGACTGGTAATGTTTTTTTTTTTAAATTACATTATGCATTTGCATCATTATTGTATTTTGTATCTTTTTCACAATCTTATCATGCATGTATATATACATATATATATATATATATATATATATATATATATATATATATATATATCGGTGTGTGGGTGTGGGTGTGGGTGTGGGTGTGGGTGTGGCTGGGTGTGTGCGTGTGGGTGGGTGTGTTACAGGTTAGCCGGCGGGGTCCCGACAGCCCGCCTTTCTTGAGCGCAGATCGTGGATGGTGCTCGCAGCATTCGAACGAGTGCTGCATGCTTGGACTCGGTGACCGAGGCCGGTCACGTGCGCGTCTGCGCAAAAGCATGCCCATTGGTCTGTGTCGAGGCTGTCTCGAATTAGTCACATGAGGTGGCGGTGGTGGTCACGTCGGATCATTATGGCCCCCGCCGGTCCCGCGTCGCGGCCTGGGGTGACGTCAGTGCTGCGTCCGTATGCTCGTGGAAGGTTTCTTCGGTAGGTGGTGTGTCTGTCCGTTTGTCAATTTGTTTGTTTTCTGATCCGTCCCGTTGATCGGGAATGGCAAAACTCTCGGCTGAAACCCGTCCAGCGCGCGGGCGCGGGCTTCCCTTACGATCGGGCGTCTTCTCCCTTTCTTTTATTTGTTGCTTGATCCCGCTCGCAAAACTTGAACTCGGAAATGGTTAAGATTTAACCTCTCAGGGTGCCTTGATGGCGCTGCGGCAGCACTACCCGGTGACATCATTAGACGTAACTGTTCTTGGGGTTCAGCAGAGAGGTTTTTTTTAGAAAAACCCCAACGGTGGTACGCCCTTTAAAGCGGACATGAATAATTGTTTCATCTACACCAAAGGTATGTCGTAATACGTCAGGCTCTTACAAACATCAAAGGTGTGCATGTTCACTTTTACATAGGTCATATCGCGTAACGTGCTTGTATTCTCATTCGCCATTGGGAAACATGAGATGAGCCTGTAGGGGAACATATTGACGCTGCTTTCGATTTGTTTGGCATATTGCGGCAATACCCGATGCAGTCATTTCAACGTTTTAGATTTCCACTCTAAAGGGCGGCGTCAAAGGCGTGAGCCAAAAACTCCTACGACCTGATGAGGCCCCCTCAAGCGCCATATCAAACCAGCATAGACCATATCCGGTCAGATAACATCGCTGTTTTCTGGGCGACGTTTGGTGACGCATGCGTCCTGAATGCCACGTTGAGAGTGCTGACAGGAAAAACTTGCACGAACCGTATCTCGTGACCGGGAAAACCTGCGTAAGTTTCAGCTCTTGTCAACGAAAACGACCGGCATCAGCAACAGGCGGCCATATTTACGGATATTTTAGCAAGCCAGGATAAATCAGCAACGGGCTAGGAAATCGCCAATAATCAGTGCTCGGTGGATTGTGCTGAAACGACCTTTTAGCTCGAGTTTGAGGTAATGCTCATATTTAGATGCAGGGAAACACCAGCGTGAGGAGGCGCTCCGTGTGTTTTCATTGCTTAGCCAGCTTAACATGGAGCATAAAGCACGGACCGCAAGCAGGTCATGTCAGTGCTGCAAGTACACCACCTCCGTGACGTGTTTTTAATTTATTCTTTTCCACCCCACACCATCTCTCAGACCTCAACGTAGATGGCTTTCACGAAAAATCGAGCAACGGTGCATAATCTCTTCAACATCACCACACAAGGTTTCGCAAAGTCCACATCGCGGGCGTTCGTCAGTGACGTGGGCTCTGTCGGCTAAGCAGACTTAGTGATATCCGTATGCCGGTCCAATTCCCCCATGCGGTCCTCCGATGCCGTGGTGTCCATAAAGACCGGGCCCCCCGACGAGGCCGGGGCCGTAGGCGCCGAGGCCGGAGCCGTAGGCGCCGAGGCCGGAGCCGTAGGCGCCGAAGCCGGGGCCGTGGGCGCCGAAGCCGGGGCCGTGGGCGCCGAAGCCGCCTCTGAAGCCGCCATGGAGGTTGTCGTAACCTCTGTTCTGCAGGAAAGACTTGCAGACGTGGCCGTAGCAAGGGCCGTGCTCACTGGCGTAGTAGACGTTCTGGTTGTGCACCGGGAGCAGGCCCGGGTGATGCTCGTTGCGGCGGATGCTCACGGACGAGGAAGAAGACGAGGCGGCGGCCACCGCCACCATGCAGGCGAGCAGGAGGAGCTGCCGATCAGAGGTCACCGGGCTTGGCACGGGTCATTGGGAGGTCATAGAACACTGAGAGATGTCAAAGGTTGCGGGGACCGGGTTGGAGTTCACCGGGGTTTATGGCTCGCCGTGGAGGTCAGTGTTCCCAAAGAGTTAGATGACCTCTAGGGAAAGGGAGAGTACATAGATCAACTCTAAAAAATGACCTGACGAATGATCTCTAGAGAGTTAGAGGTCATTTGCGGCATCGGGGCTAATCGCGGAGGTCGAGGCCTATGGTCAGGGCAGCGGCTCTTACATGTGTACGTCACGACAGTGTCAGGAATCGCAGCCTCACTAAAGGGACGTTAACTCTAGTGATGCGGCTGGAGTGAGTCCGGCAATTTTGCTCACCTGACACCTCACCCCCCCCCCCGCAACCCCCATTCCCACCCCCACCCCATGCGACGCTGACTCGCTTTTACCCCGGCTCCCGCCCACACCTGGCTCAGATCGCTCACCTTCATGCTGGCAGGGCCTGATCAGAGTGCAGCCATTGTCGACCGTATCACCGCTTTAATACCGAGACGGCGCCCGGCTCCAGGCTGCCAGCGGAGGAAGGGCGCGGTCCAGGTCCTGACACGGCTGGCACTGGTCTGCACCTACTGATTTGGACCGGATGGCCGCTGGGCGTTGTCCATTGCAGTCGCTTGCAAAATTGAAAACCTGTTCGTGTGGCTAAAAGCTGGATATCCGTGAGATACAGTAGGATTTGTGATTGTATTATGGAGAACGTGAGAATGCTGAAAATGATAGATGGAGATCTCAAATGTTCTTATTCATATCGTGCGCAGTCGTAATAACAAAGACTGGTGTCGGGATGAATGGCTGTGGTGTCAAGAGAACCCAGTGGGGACTGGAATAGTAAGTAGTGATGTGCATTGCAAGGCGAAACTGTTCAATTTCGGGCAACGGTATCCTCAGCGTCGGTATATCTGTATGCATCTATATGTCGTTTTCCCGCTCCCGAACCTCCCCCCCGCTCGTCTCTTAATTGGCACCCAGGCCTGAGATCTACGGAGGTACTTTTCCCCAGCGTTATCTTCACGATCTTTTGCGACACTCAAAAAGGGAGCTTGTAGGATGTTTTTTTGAGTTTATCAATCACTATATAGCTTACAAATACTAATCCTACTCGAGTCAACAAGAACATTTTGGATACGGCACGTGTCAGGTAGGTCAAACAAAAGAAGATGGCGAGGTCATGACGTCAACTTAACTTTGAGTTGGTTAACTAGCACGCGTGTGCGTGTTATTATTCTGATCATATGGTCCGAATTTACAAGGCAGGGCCTGTAATAGACAAGCCCGCGGCGTGACCCCCGAACATATGCGGGCTTTAACTCGGTGACCGCTGCTTGGAGAGGTCTGAGGTCGGCACAGGCGTATTTACGACCCATGACTACCACGCAATTTCATTTTCGGCTTTTTGAAACATGTGGGTGTAAGGCTTTGGTTCCGTGAGGTGTCTCTGGCGTGAAATTCTCGCAAGGTCCCCAGAATGCGTGAATCTTATGCATGAAAGCACTGCAACAACTGCGCATTTCCTGCTTTTATTCCTTTTGTCTGCGATGGAAAAGCATCTTATCGTTGCAGCTATTGACGCTTTCAACTCCCACGGTATGCCAAAAGTCATTTATCAGAATCTTCCTCACACTGGCTGAGAAGTGTCATTTTAGAATCGCAAGATTCCGGATAACAGAATTCCTCTGCAGCGATGCGACTTGCACCTCAAACTGGCCATATTCATCAACGGAGTCCTCGCAACGACCGAACAGAGCTGTGTACTTTTTGAAAAAGGCTTCTTAGTGTGGTCTGGACATGCCAGTGATTTCACGCATGTTTCTTTTAGGTGGCTTCTTTAACCTCAGGTGGATCACAAACCGCTTGTTCCGCTTGTCATTGCCAAGGACCTACTCGAGGCACCCATTCACGACCAGAAAATTATGATGTCTTTGATGTGCTACAATGGTTCTGTCATACACGTAGCAGGTCCACAGCGCTGCGCACCAGGCTACCTGTCACCCCAGCCGCCAGTCAGTGATGCTGAAGTAGCAGCTGCAGCTGTAGCGCCAGATCTTGATGGTCATGTTCTGGTTGCATCCCAAGCACTCGCAGTTCAAGACAGACGGCTTGAGGAGGTCCGAGAAGCCCAGCAGAGAGAGAGAAGATCAGCACTGGCACTAGCCTGCTCCCAGCACTAGACAGACGGCTTGAGAAGGTCCGAGAGGCCCAGCAAAAAGAGCACCAGTACTTCCAGTTCTAAACAGACAGCTGGAGGAGGTCTGAGGGGCCTAGCAGAGAGAGAAAGAGAGAGAGAGAGAGAGGAGAGAGAGAGAGAGAGAGAGAGAGAGAGAGAGAGAGAGAGAGAGAGAGAGAGAGAGAGAGAGAGAGAGAGAGAGAGAGAGAGAGAGAGAGAGAGAGAGAGAGAGAGAGAGAGAGAGAGAGAGAGAGAGAGAGAGAGATAGAGAGAGAGAGAGAGGGGGGGACTATCTGGCAGATGATACAGCGTACCACGGCTGAATGACAAGCCGGTTGGCTAGAGGCCATCCAGGGCGAGGGGGGCGAGAGGCCATCATCTGCTCTGGGGGAAGGGGAGGGGGGCAGAGGTCACCAACGTCACCTCAGCGCCACTGACGACATCCTGAGGCGCGTTTACGAACGAACCTTCGGCAAGCTAAGCAGACACTCTGGTCGGCGTCAGCGTATCGTAAATCGAAGGACGCGCTCAAAGAACGTAACGTGCCAACGTGGTTTTCAGATGCATCGCCTTCCCAACTACAGCTCAGCTTGTCACTGACATTTACAATCGAACACATATGATGTAACAGAACAGGTGTTCGTCCACTCCACGTGAATTCTGCACCTGAAAGGTTCCAGATTTGAAAATGCCGGTTCTGTGCACGCCCCGCGCCCGGCGTCGAAGGTAACCAACCAGCGTTAAAACTATAGCAACGCTACATCCGTCAACCGATCAGCGTCGATCTAAAAACAGCAGGATTATAGAGGCCATAGTTTGACGGAAGGATTGCGACGTGGAATTATCACGGATGGAAAAGTGTTCACACTTGCGTCCCTGGCAGGCGTGTATGTGTGCGACGTTTCGGCCAGTCAACTTTGAGGCCTTTTCAAGCGTCATTGAGTTCTTACCAGGCATGAATGGCGTTTGCTTTCAACCTTGTGGGAGCTTCCAGCCATTCACACCCGAGTTTTCTGCTTGGCATTGTTGCGACCCGAACCGGGATCTTCTGATTACGAAACCAACATTACCAACTGAGCTAGCCGGGATGAACATCTTCAGTCAGGACCCGAAGGACTGCCTTTTCCGGCTAGCTCCATTGGTGGAGCGCTGAACCGGTCATGAGAAGACTACGGTTCAAATCCCAAAAATTCCCAGGGGAGAATTCGGGATCCGACGCGCACGTCCATACATGGCAGCAAGACAACGCCATCCAGGCCTTGCCGTGACTTACAACACATCACGATGGTTTGACAATTGACTGGCCGAAACAGGGTACATATATCAAAACATCGGACGAAGACAGAAGCCTGTATCTTTAATCCATCCATTCTAAAGTCTTCAATATGGCAACATCACCAATTTTTCTAATGCGGCTGCGCTGGAAGATCAGCTATGGTAGACTGGCCCGCACTGTGGCCAAAGGATCATATCCTTAATGCTCAGAAGTAAAGAACCAGAGTTGTCCGACGTGAATTCAACCGTAGTTGACCACAATCGACGCAATATGTCCTCGGCATAATGCATGCGCTAGATTGTGTTGTATGAGTTTCATTTTAAACAGTTTGATGCGTTGTCGAGTTTCGCCTAGCATTTTCGGCAATATGGCGGCTACGCCAGGTGTAAACAAGGCACCGGCGCTCTTCATCTGATCGGCTTTTCTATTACATCGCGCATTTTTCCGTTCATCTGAAACATTCCCCGCGTCATCTCGGTGTTCAAGCAGAGCGATTGATCAGATCTGAACAGTTTTTGGCCCATCTCTTTTCTCCCTGCACTGTCTAAAATGACGGAGAATGACGCTTGTTCGCTGTTACTTTCTCGCCGTCTTGAAAACCATGTACAAACGTCATCGCGATGTACTTACCCGTCCATGTCACTGGACGGGGAACGCCCTGATCGATGCTGTCGAGTAGGTCGCAAAGGCTTTCGACAACGGCCATGTCGTGTCGATAATGAAGATTGATCTCGCAAGGCCTTTTGCAGCGTTCATCCCAGCGTCCTCCTGAGCAAGCTGAAGTGGTGTGGGGTGTGCTCGGAATTGTTCCGGGACTGCCTGAGCGGTCGGAAGCAGGTGGTTGGTGGCTGCTACGCCACACTATCACTATCCCACCGATTGGCCCAGGATCCCTTGTCAGTCCAATAATTTTCCTCGTCTTCAACGACCTACTCAGATTCCTATCCCACGTCCGCCTACTATACTACGCTAATGACACCCGATTCTTTGACTTTGCCACTTCTGATGTAGTCGGCCTGTCTAACCTGAAGACTCGTGTCGAGGGTTCCATTCAGTGCCCTCAAAGCCGGTTTCAGTTAAACAGCCTCAAAATAAACCCCTCAAAAGGTAGACTTCATGCTGCTCGGCACCAAGCTCTCCATACAAAAGACCGGCAACTTCAACATGACCATTTCGGCGTTCATCGAACATCTCCAGCGAAGGTGCTGGATGTATCCCGTGACCACCATCTCAGCTGGGAAACTCAACTTCTCTCGCTATTCGGCGCTGTAATGCAATCCTCGCACCCCTGTTCAAAATTCGAAACCACTTAAATCCTGACGTTCTGAAGCTCCCTGTAAAATTCCACGCGTTTCCCCAACTCCTCAACTGGGGCGTCCGTCTGGGGTGGAGCGACCGAGTATCAACTAGGCAGTGTTCCAAAGCTGACGCACTTCGCAGCCAGTCTAGTCAGCGGTGTCCGCGGTGGCGATCACATTTCACCCGCCTTGGAAACGCTCGGCTGGCTTGGCTTCGCGGATCATGTGCAACTCAATCAATTCAAGTTCAAATGATCCAACCCGGGCCGTTTCCGACGGCGTCGACTCGCTGACTCGCTGCACCTGCCGCGCGTCCGACTGACCGCCACCCAGCGGCCGTTTCCATACCGCGCCGTCGCCGCGCGGAACCGATGGCCCGCCGACAGCCGTCCACGACCCCTCGCGCGGGGTATTCTTGACGGTTTTAAATAACTGACTCCGTGTGCTTTGTGTGCACATATTTTTTCCCTTGTATGGCTAGGGGCAGAACAAACACTGCGTGAATGCGCCCTCAGTTGTATAAATGTATTTTTTTTTATTTTTCTAATTTCTTTCTTAAAACATTTGATCCGAACCCTTCGAATGAACGGATTTCTGGGATCAGAGCTTACGTTAAGCAGTGCTTGTTGTGTGAGCCCTGACCCCCACCATCCGATAGCACAATTCCATGTCAACAGCAGAATTTGGTGGCGA